GGACCAACATGGCCAAGGTCTTCAGTGAAGAGGTGCTGGCCTTGCTGAGTTGCCAGCTTCTTCAAGGCCCCTCAGCTGGCACTGTCCCCACGTCCAATGGGCCAGTCCCTCCCGGCTTGGGCCTTGCCCTGGCTGCTCCCTGTCTGAAGTTCCCTCCTCGGAGTCCCCCATCTGCAACCTTTCCATTCCTTATCACCTCCTCCAGGAAGCCCCCCCCCGCCCCACGCTTCCTGTGGCCCTAGCGGGTGCACAAACTGGGATGCTTGTCCAGCCTCGCCGAGGCAGGTCCCCACCTGACTAAGACCGGGGCCAGTGCAGCTCGGGGGAATGACGGTGGTGCCCATGTCCTTTGTCTGCCGGCCCCGCTTGCAGTTCGAAGGTCGGAAGTACTGCGAACACGACTTCCAGATGCTGTTTGCGCCGTGCTGCGGGTCTTGCGGTAAGGGCTGGCAGGAGACGGGCCTCTGGGCTGCCTGGGAAGCGGGTGGGCAAGCGGGAGGGAAGGCAACTTCCCAGACGGCCTGCGCCCTGTCTCTCTGAGCATCAGCCTTTGGGCCCCTGCAGGCATCACCCTCCTGAGCCCTGGGAGGGGCGCCCTTGGACCACGAGGGCCAGTGTGGGTGGGCTCAGCAGGGGGCTTCAGGGGTGGGCGGGCACAGGGCCAGCAGGGGCCTCTCTCTTCCAGGCGAGTTCATCGTCGGCCGTGTCATCAAGGCCATGAACAGCAACTGGCACCCCGGGTGCTTCCGCTGTGAGCTGTGTGACGTGGAGCTGGCCGACCTGGGCTTCGTGAAGAACGCGGGCAGGTGAGATGCGGCGGGTCTTGGGGAGGGAGTGGCCCCTCCTCGGAGGTGCCAGGCCCGTTCCAGGCAGACAGGAGAGCCCTGTCCGGTTTACTGGTGAGGACCGAGGCTGGAGAGAGTGAGGGGTGAGTTGGGCTAGCTCAGACTCAGGGGTGTTCCCGGGAGCAGGCTGACAGTAGACCAAGGGGGGAAAGGCAGCCCAAGTGGGTGCTGTTAGACACAGTGGATGGATAAGGAGCTTGGAGTCAAGTTCCCACCCGCCTGGCCACCCCCACTGCTGACCCCAACCATCCACCTCTGTCCTCACCCCACCACGAGCGCTGCTGGAGAGACAGCAGTCACCCAGCCCAGCTGCTCCGAATTCAGGCCCGGGGTTCCTTAGAAGGCTAAGTTCTCATCTTCCACGAAGACTGGCTCTTTCTCCTCACCCCCTCCTCCCACCACCCATCCCCAGTGTGACAACCTCCCCTCCCCTTCCCTGCGGGGCCGCTGCGACCTGGCACTGCCTGGGTCCGAGTGGAGGCCATGTCCCACACCCCCAAAGCCCTGCTCACTCCACACGCCTCCACGAGGGCTCCCAGCTCTGGTCACTCTCCCTCCCTTTCTCGTGGGTCAGGCTTGGTGGCTCCCACGTTTCACAACACCCTCTGAACCTTCCACTGGGATTCTCCGCAGCCCTCTCCATCACCCCTGCTGGCTTCTCCCGTCTGCTCCCTGCACCCAGTCTGGCTGGGTTCCCCGTGGCCCCTGTGTTGCTCACTGCTGGCTCCTCCTGTGACTTCCCAGCAGCCTTTACTGCAGCTCCCGCACCTCCCTGGGGGCCCAGGACCCTGGGGGTCTCCTGCCCCGTGGCTGCTCTGTCCCTCTCCTCATCTGGTTCACCTCCTCCCCCCATGTCTCCGTGTTGGACTCGGTTGGGATTCTGCCCTGGGCCTAAAGTCTCAGAGCCTTAAATGGCATATACGTGCCAGAGAATTCAGATGTCCACCCCCACCCCAGACCTCTCCCTTGGGATACTCTGCTGCCCACGTGCCATCTCCACATGGTGTCCACCAGGCATCCCAGATGCACCAGATCCCAACCAACCAGCTCTGAGTTTCTCCTCTGCTGACAACCAAGTCTCCATGAAGAGTGCACCTGCCTGGTTGTCACCACCCTCACTGTCCCGCTGTCCGTCTGCCTCCCACGCCCTCTCCGTCTGGGCTTTCGTCCCCAGCTCCATTCCCTGGCCCCCTCCTGATGCTGCTGCAGTGATCCCGGCCATCTGCCCGCCCCACCAGAGGTGCAGGTCTACTGTCTCCGTGTCCGCAGGGCACTCAGCAGGAGCCTGAGTGTCAGGTGCTCACGTGAGAGGCTGCAGGTGGCAGATGGGGCAGTGGGGGTCCCGTGTTCATCGGTGGGACTCCCTGGCCAGCTGTGGGCCTGAGTAGCTCCTGTGTCTTTCCTGAGCCCAGCTTAGCTGTGACCCCGCTGCTCCAGCGCTCTGCTGGGAGAGTCCAGAGAGGCTGGAAGCGCTCAGGAAAGTAAAATATTACCGTGATGAAGGGAGGGGGTGCCCCACTCACACCCTCCCAGCCCAGGCTGGCACTTGGAGTCCCAAGGGGCAGAATGCCAGAGTCCCCGTCAGGCAGGCAGGCCGTGGGGCCACCAGAACCGCAATCCACATGCTGCCATTCCCGGGTCACAGGGAAGAGAGGTTCTGGAAGGGGGTTGCGTTAACCCAACAGAATAACCTGCGGCTGTTAAAGTGCAGTGATGTTTGTGGTCGGTAGAATCAAGTACAAAAGAGGAGAAGCTGTGAAGCAAAACGGCTCAGAGCTTGGCCAGCCCGGGCTGCTGGAGGCCTCAGGGAGGGAGCGGGACCATAGCCCTGCTGGGTCCAGGTCAGTGGGGGACATGTTCTCACAGCAGGCCACCCTCCTCCCCCACCAGTAACAGAGCTCAGCTCCCTGGAGGGTCTACCCAGGCTGTGTGCTTGACCAGGACTCTGGAGGGGCCGGGTAGCTGCCAGGAAGCTCTGGGATGGCCGGGCACGTGCAGGTCCGTGTGTGGGTTTCTGGCAGGAGAGAGCTGAGGTGCCCTGCGGGCCCTGTTTTGCTGGAGGTCCCCGGCCACTGCCCTGAAATGTGCTTAACAGTGTTCAGCTGTGATTTAGAGCCTGCATCCCCGAACTCCGGGTCCTCTGGCAAAGGTGTCACAAAGGGACTCAGAGTGCTTTGCGCTTCAGAGGAAATACTGGGACACCCTCCCCCGCCGAGATCCCCGCGTCCCCTCTTCTGCTAGGCCGTTGGCAGCTGTCTCTCGCGTTCCCCCTGCAAAGCTTCACCGGTGTCCTGGGAAGGAGGCCGGGGGGCTTGCAGGCAGCACTTGGGAAAGAACGACACTCATTGCTCAGGAATGTGCCTCCCGCCTCCTCGCCACCTCCCCGTGGGGTGAAGGCACCGAGTGACTAGGGCCCGTGGGCGAGCAGGGCCACCGCCGTCTTTGCATAGGGGCAGCCGTCCGGTCCCTCCTGTTCTCCCTCTCCTGGGCTTTGCATGTCAAGGAAGACAGACCTCAGCGCCGGGTGATGAGCTCCAACCTCGGAGCGGGCGGTAGTGACCTGCTGAGGTCTCCGTGTCTTTTCTCGGGGACGACGGGGAGGAGATGGGCTCCTCCCTCGTGGGTCCGAGGGGTCGTCCTTCTAGACTGGGCGGTGGGGCTGGTGGCCCTGGGCTCACAGCTCGGACCTGGCGCTCAGCGAGCTCTCGTTGGTCTTCCCGTCCGCACTGGGGGGCGGCCCCGAGAGCCTCCGGCCGCAGAGGAGGTTGCACAGGGCTTCTCGGAACTTCTCGGCCACGAAGAAGTACATGATGGGGTCGAGGGCGCCGTTGAGGCTGGTGAGGCAGGAGGTGATGCGGTTGCCGAGCGCCAGGACGCGCTGGGCGGCGCACGAGGTGTGGTCCCCGCGGTAACGCAGCACGAAGACGGCGCGGTGCACGTGGTAGGGCACAAAGCAGACCAGGAAGATGGCCAGCACCATGGCGATCATGCGGACCGCCTTGTTCTTGAGGCGCCGCTCCACGCGGGGGCCCTGCCGCAGGCGGCGGATGATCAGCAGGTAGCAGGTGACCGTGGTGACGAACGGGAAGGTGAAGGCCACGGCCAGGGACGCGAGGGCGTGCTGGGAGGCCTTCTCTCGGTATAGCTGCAGGCAGATGACCGTGTGGTTGGTCCGCACGGTCTGCGGGCTCACCAGCAGCGGGGCCATGGCCACGGCCACCACCACCCAGAGGAAGGCGCAGGCCAGGTGGGCGTGAAGGGGCCGGCGGAGCTTGAGGGACTTGACGGGGTGCACGATGGCCAGGAAGCGGTCAGCGCTGATGCAGGTGAGGAAGTAGATGCTGGCGTACATGTTGAGGTAGAAGAGGAAGCCGGTCAGCCGGCACGGGATCTCCCCGAATGGCCAGTGGTTCCCGGAGAAGTGGTAGACGAGGCGGGTGGGCAGGACCAGCACACAGGACAAGTCGGCCACAGCCAAGTGCATCAGGAACACGTTGGCCGGGGTGCCTGACTTGTGGTCCCGGACAAACAGCCACAGGGCCAGGGCGTTGCCGACAAAAGCCAGGATGAAATCCAGGAGGTAGAAAGAGGCGAAGAGGACATTCTCCAGGGGCGTCTCCTGGCCACATCGCTCTGTGGGCGCCGGGGAGGAGTTGGCAATCAGACCTGGGGGGGCCACCTTGAGGCCATTCATGCTTCAGCGGGAGGCAGAGTCCGAGTGAGCCTGGAGGGAACAAGCAGACAGGCCCCAGAGAGCCTGGGACCAGTGGGGCGTCATCCTCTGAGGGCGTCCAGACATGAGCCTTTGGTCCCTACCCACCCCTGACCCCCGAATGGGCTCGGCATTGTCTCAGGGATGGCTGAGGGCACCAGCTGTGTCCATCTGAGGGTGGCAGGAGAGGGCCTCACAGAGACCAGCTGCATCCCAGCAGCAGCCCGGGAGGAGCAGCGGGGGGAGGGGGTCGCTGTCCTGTCTGAGCTGGCTCTGCACTGAGCAAGTTCTCCATCAGCTTCTCCTGGCCTCTGCTCTCTCCCGGCATGGGGGCGGCTCTGTTAGCACCGCAGCCCCTGAGAAGGAGGCTGCTGGGTACCATCCCGGGATGGACATGGATGAAGGAGCAGGCATGGGGGGGGGGTCTGCCCTGCCCTCCTGTCACAGAGGGAGCAGGATGGGTGGTCCAGACTGTGGGTGCCAGACTGTCTGGCCAGGCAGCACCTTGACCCTCCCCTTCATGCCTCATTGGCCACCACCAAGGATCCAGGGACGCCCCCTCGGCTCCAGCGTGGTTCAGGTCATCTGAAATTCTAATAGAGATGATTTCTTGTTGTTCCTGGGCATGTGTGACCTGAGGGGGAAGGCCTGGGGCCAAGTGACCGAGGGGGCTTGTTGGAAACCTGGGGGTAGGGAGGGGCTGCAGGGGGCGGAGCTAGGTACCCTGCACTCCAGGCTGCCCCCAGACCCCAACTCTGCCCCACAGTGCAGTTGTTCCCTGGCTCTCCTGGAGGGCAGCCCACGGGTACCGGCCACCTCCTCTGCCCAGCAGGAGCCTGGTGCTCCGCACGCCAGTCCCGAGGGGCAGGTGGACTTACCTCATTTTACAGGTTAGGAAATTGAGGCTCTGAATCAGCCTACTTGGCCAAGGTCATTTGGCCGGGGGCTGTGGCCCTGGACGTGCAAGTCAGATCAGGAAGACAAGGCAGGGACAGCCAGCACCTCCAGGGCACTGCCGTTCTTCTGGGGGCTGACAGGTCCCTAGGCCAGGCTCAGCACCTCCCCCTCAGGGCCTGGCTCCCGGACCGGTGACATAATTTGTGCCACCCCTTGAAAGAAGGCCTTTCAAGATGGTGACCGCAGAGTGGTAAACTGAGCATGGGGCCCTGCGTGACTGCCAGGCGGTCCTGGGTGGGCATGCCAGCCCCCCACCTTCTGCTCCTGCCCAGCGCCCCCCGGCCCCCCACCCCGTGAAGGCTGCATGCCCCTGCTCTCTCTAGGGTACAGACTTAACTTGAAAACACTTTCTGGCTTCTCTCTGGTTTGTTGAGGTTTCTTTACCCACCCCCTCCCCAGTTTGGGGACTTTTGCTGCGGGTTTTGTGGCGTGTTCTGAAGTGGCTCTCTGCTACTTTCTCCACATGTCCCTGGAAACGCCTGCGCTCACTGCCCCTCAACGCTCTGCTCCAGGCAGGATGGCTGGGGTGCGTGGAGTGTGGCCTGGGCCCGGGCAGGGTTGGGGCCTGGCCGTGGGTCAAGTGCAGGCCTGGGCCTCCTTGGAGGGGACGTGGCAGTGGGAGGAGGCCTGTGGTGGCTGTCTCCCAGGCATCGCCAGCACCTCTCCCCCTTGAGGCCCTCCCCACGACCGACCAACTGGGTTAAAGGTGAGGAGTGTGGGGGCTGTCCCCGCAGCCCCGGGACAGCAGCAGGGCACTCACTCACCCGTTATAAGCCCTGAAGGTGAGACGGGAGCAGCGCTCTGTGGTCGGCTCTGATTCAGACTGGGGCGGCCTGGACAGATAGGTGGAACCATGACCAACCACAGAGGCGTCTCGAGGGTGGGGACACTTGTCCCTGCCCTGCTCCGAGTCTGTGTCTGCTGGGCCCCAGCTCCCTGCCCACCCTGCCTGCCCCACCTGCCCCACCTGCCCCGTCTGGCCCTGCCCTTACCTCTCACTGCCGGTCCCAGGGTGGCAGGTGGACTGCAGCCTGTGGGTGGTGGCGCGGGCGGTGGGCTCCGAGCAGCTGTGCTGGACAGCCGTCTATTTAAGGAGAGGAGGGGTGGCTGCAGCCCCTCGGGCCCTGAAAGGCTGCTTCATTGCTCAGGAGTCCCCTGTGTGATGGGCCACTCCTACAGCTGCCTCTGTTGCCGATGGGCCGTGAATATTCCAGTGTGTCCCAGCCATCCCCCCACCCCCCAGCTTGGCCACTGAGCGTCACAGAGGCCAAGTGTGTGACTGTCTTAGAATCCGTGGAGTGGGCGCCGGCCGGGTGGGGGGACTGGCTGGGACCAACAGACACAACAGAACGTTTCAGAACAGGGTAATTTCCTACCAGTGATGGGGGGGGCACAGGGAGGGGCTGGCTTCCACGGCAACGGGCCTGGGCTCCCGAGCCTGCTCCCGCCAGCAGCAAAGTGGGGCTTGTGAATGGGAAGGGTGGGAGCTGGGGAGTTTGTTCGGTCGAATGAGAGGGGACTCTTTCAGGACACTGGCTGTAGGGTCCCTGTGTCCTGCCCCGTATAATTAGGCCCCGTTTGGGTATGTGGAATAAATCATGGCCTTTATCTTGAGTGCGGCCCAGCTGCAGGCTGCCTCATAATGGGGCGCTGTCTGCCTGTGAGGATCGGGAGGCCCGGGTGGGCTCCTTCTCTGGATGGGAGGCCTGGGAAGACGGCCACTGCTGTCTGCTGGCCCCCAGGACTCCTCCTAGGAGTGGCCGGAGGCTGAGGGCTGTTTGGATGTTGACAGGGGCCGCTCCTAAGATGGCTCGAGTGAAGCTGGTTTTCCCGTCTTTTCAAAGACAATGTGTCCAGTAACACAGGGAATCAAATCATCACTCCTAACTTCAAAAGACTAACTTTTTTAGTTAAAAGGTTTATAAATGCACACGGCTATGGTTGGGAAATCCCTGCCCCAAGGGCTGTCTGAAATATGTTCTTTCACATTTCACATCCTGTGCACTTGGGATTGCTGCCCATTTTACAGACGAGGAAACTGAGGCTCAGAGAGGCACCATTACTGGCCAGGGACCAGGACTCAAGCACATGTCCCTCGAAAACTTAGGCTGCGTGTGTGTTTTGTCTGTTCTTCTGTTGCATCTCGATGGTAGAATTCTGAGGTTCCATTCTCCTCCTCCCCAGGAACGAATTCTGCACATTGCCCTTAGATCTGGCACAGGATCAGGTCTGTTGAAAAGATGTTTCCCATCTGGGGTTCCTTCAGGAAAGCTGGGCTCCACAGCTCTATGTTGCCTGGGAGCCGGGTGTGTGTGTACGTGCATGTGTGTCCGTGTGCAGCCCCCTGGGAGTGGCCATCTGGGAGAACTGGCTCACGGTGGCTTAAAATGATGGGGCTGGCTGGCTGCCCAGAGCACGCATTTCTGTTGTCCAGGGATTGATGACAGTGGCTTTAAGGGCGTTGATGATTGCAGCAGAATTTGGGGGAGTTGCGCTAATTTCTGTAACTTTGTAACAGAAGTCATTCCATGTGGGTTGAATGTTGTCCTGCTAAGAGGAGTTGCCAAAACGGGAGTGGGGTTGCGGGGAATAAATGCTGTGCGGCAGGGGTGGTGCGGGGGCTCTGCTGCACTGTCCGGGTGTGAGTGGGGTGGGGACAGCCCAGCGGGCTTCAGGGATCCGGGGACAGAGAGGGGCCGGAAATGGGCTGGGCCATGCAGGAGATGGAGACTGAGCCACAGGCCACGTCTGTGGTCCCTGGCCAGGTCGAGTGAGCCGGGGTCCCAGGGCCAGGAGATGGCCTTCCGGTCTCGGTCTGGCCGCGCTGTTGTGGGGAGATGGTGCCGGCCTCCTTCCCTTCCTGTCTCGCACAGTCATTCAGTCACTCACGCATCAGAAGACTCATCCTGAGCCATGGCCCTGGGTGGGGCACACGGAGTCTAAGGAGCATGGCTGGAGCCAGTCAGCAGCATAGCAGGTGGTTGTGGCATTCGCTGGGGTCCTTGCCCTTTGCCCCCGGGATTGGGGAACAAGACCCCCACAGGGCAAGCAGCATGGAGTCCAGACCCAACTGAGGTGGTGGGCCCTGCGGTCAAGGGCATGGACGTGGAGTTGGCTGCCCTGGCATCCAGGGTCTGCCCACCGCACCTGGTGGGGGTCCTGAGTCTGAGAGTTCATGTGTTACGTAGACACCTTGACCTGCCTGTAAAAGAGGCCGACACCAGTATCAGGCCTCTGTGGACACTGCCAAGATGGAGCTGGGGGCCTGGGATGGGAGGGTGGGTGGGACCGGATGCACTGCAAGCACTTACAGATCGGGGTGGCAGGTGGGGGGTGGGGAGCAGCGGACTGGGGCCTTTGTACATTATTGCCTGGGGACCCTGCCTGTAAATTCCTGTCGCCTTTGAGGCCCAAGGAAACAGAAAGCACGTTGATTTGTCCCAATGGAGCCCACAGCTGTTGCCCAGTGCAGGGAGCAGCATCAGCAGTCACTCTGAGCTCTTTACAAAAAGAGACTCTTGTGATGACGGTTCCTGGGTTTGGGGCCCCATCTGACACAGCCGTGCTTGTCTTTGGAGACAGAGAGAGCCTGTGCGTGTCTGGGCACCTCTTTGTCAGGCAGACCCCTGAGGAAGCAGGCGTGCGGGCCCGACCGGCCTGACCGCCTTGGCCCCTCGGCTGGGCAAAGTGGGGTTTTCAGGCTGATGGTCACTGGCCAGTTACTCACGTGTGTTAAAAGACATATGAAAAATAAAACAAATTTTGCAGCCAATGGCACTGAAATGTCGACTCTATTCCACCCGATGTCCTAGGCACGGAAAAAGTGTGAAGAAAAAAGTATAGTGTCTGCCCTACTGTCAAAGACAGCAGACACCACAAAGCTGCTGTATTTCCTTCTGGTCTTTGTCCTGTGTGGAGGCGCCCTTCATAGAGGGCACCCGGTGGCCTCCCCGGCCTCTGGGACGGTTACCTGATTTTCTGGTCCACCAGGACAAGCTCTGGAGGCTTCCTGGCATTCATTCAAGTCTTGGGGGTGGGGAGATGCCTTCTGGAGGGGAAGGGGGGTGGCCCTGGCTGTCTGGGGAGGAAGAGGAGTGGGTCTAACCCCTGATGCCCGCCTCACCGCCCGCAGGCACCTGTGTCGACCTTGCCACAACCGGGAGAAGGCCAAGGGCCTGGGCAGGTATATCTGCCAGCGGTGTCACCTGGTCATCGACGAGCAGCCTCTCATGTTCCAGAATGACGCCTACCACCCGGACCACTTCAGCTGCACCCACTGCGGGTATGTGCACAGCCAGTTCCCTGCCGCCTGGGCGGGTGGGGAGCCCGGGGGAGCTGGGACACCCGCCCAGGGCGGTGATGGGGCAGGAGAGGACCAGGTGGGAGAGGGAGGCATCTGGAGGGTGGGGTGCAGGGCCGGGAAGGTACTGTAGCAGGAACCCTTCTCTCCAGGGCTCTGTTCAGAGGGGCCCTTTTTAAAATTTTTTTTTACTTCATTACTTTCTTGTTTGATTTGTTTTTTGTGGGTAGAGTTAATTAGGTTTATTTTTTAATGGCGGCCCTGGGGACTGAACCCAGGACCTCATGCATGCTAAGCACGTGTTCTACCACTGAGCTGTACCCCCTCCCCCTCTACCCGACCTGGGAGGTCCTGAGAGACTTGGGTGAGGTCTGGCCGGCCTCCGGACAGAGCTGAGAGGAAGGGGTGAGGGCGCGGAGGGCAGGGGTGAAGAGGAGGGGTTGGTGGTGGCGTTGGGGAGGGAGGGAGGAGGGGGGGAGGCTGCAGCGCGACCCCCTCCCCTGTCGCAGACACTGGGTCTGGTCCTGAGGGCCCCGGAGAACAGAGCTGCTTCTCAGAGGGCGAACAGTGGCCGCCTTCTGCAAGGGCCGTGTGGAGCCCCAGGCCCGGGGGCCTGTCTGGGCCACAGGAAGTGTCCAAAGACAGCAGAGATCAAGGTGCCGCCTGCCCCAGGGTCTCTGCTGGGACAGAGCGAGGCCCCCCCAGAAGCTGCCTCCCTGGACTGGAGGGGCTGGGGCATCACCCGGGGCTCCGCGCTGTCTTGCAGGAAGGAGCTGACGGCCGAGGCCCGGGAGCGGAAGGGCGAGCTCTACTGCCTGCCCTGCCACGACAAGATGGGCGTGCCCATCTGCGGGGCCTGCCGCCGGCCCATCGAGGGCCGCGTGGTCAACGCGCTGGGCAAGCAGTGGCACGTGGAGGTGAGCGAGGCCGGCCCTGCAGCCCCACCCCCACCCCCAGGCCGGTGGCCGGCTCCCTGCAGGCACCTTCCTCTTGGGTGGCACCCCTCCTCGCCCCTGGCTGGGGACACGTCCCTCTGCAGGACCCAGGAGATCTGAGTACACAGACTGGCTGGGCAGGCACACCCCCTTCCCTCCTCCCCGTCCTGGCCTTCTAGATGATTCCAAAGTCATGAGAAAACCACAGGGACATTTGCCCGAGGCGCCCTGTGGGATTGGGGTTCGCAGAACTGGCTGCATGTCCGGCCCCATGAGACACAGAAGCTGGGCATACCTGCCCTGAGCTGCTTAGGTGGGTCCCCCGGGGTCACCTGGAATGCTCAGCTCCATGCTGGGGGTTCCAAAGGCCTCATGGACACTACTGGGAAGGGAGGTGTGCAGGCCTAGTGACCTGGCCAGCTCAGTGGCACTCTGCTTTGGGTGGCCTCTTTGCGAAGGTCCTGACGCAGACCCCGGCCCCCAGTTCCCTGGGGGAGGGTGAATCCTCACACGCTCAAACCTCTGTCAATGCAACGATGCGCCCGGTGACTCTGGGCTTGTGGAGACGTCCAGGGCAGCCAGCGTGGGCAGCCCTCCAGGCCACAGGCCTCGCCGGTGCCTGACACCTGGGGCTGAGGGTGCCGAGACTGGGAACAGGCCCCGCGAGGTCAGTGCCACCAGTGTCACTGTGTTTTAGGGAAGGAGCGGGGTCTGCTGACCTGGGGCAGGCCATGGAGGGAACAGCTCCACTGGCCTCTGCTTCCCGTTTATTCCTGGGTGACTGCTGTCTCCTGGGGTGGGGGGGATGTGCCAGCCCTGACGCGGCCCCGCCCCCCCTCCCCCCAGCACTTTGTCTGCGCCAAG